CCCATCTATAAATATATTAAACAACCCACGGTGACATCACACATCCTTGTCTAAGGCCTACTTTTACTGGGAAATATTTCCCTCTTTCCTACATACTCTAACTTGAGCCTCACTATCCTCGTAAAAACTCTTCACTGCTTTCAGTAACCTACCTCCTAACCCATACACCTGCAACATCTGCCACATTGCCCCCCTATCCACCCTGTCATACACCTTTTCCAAATCCATAAATGCCACAAAGACCTCTTTGCCTTATCTAAATACTGTTCACTTATATGTTTCACTGTAAACACCTGGTCCACACACCCCCTACCTTTCCTAAAGCCTCCTTTTTCATCTGCTATCCTATTCTCTGTCTTCCTCTTAATTCTTTCAATAATAACTCTACCATACACTTTACCAGGTATACTCGACAGACTTATCCCCCTATAATTTTCGCACTCTCTTTTATCCCCTTTGCCTTTATACAAAGGAAACTATGCATGCTCTCTGCCAATCCCTAGGTACCTTACCCTCTTCTATACATTTATTAAATAATTGCACCAACCACTCCAAAACTATATCCCCACCTGCTTTTAACATTTCTATCTTTATCCCATCAATCCCGGCTGCCTTACCCCCTTTCATTTTACCTACTGCCTCACGAACCCCCCCACACTCACAACTGGCTCTTCCTCACTCCTACAAGATGTTATTCCTCCTTGCCCTATACACGAAATCACAGCTTCCCTATCTTCATCAACATTTAACAATTCCTCAAAATATTCCCTCCATCTTCCCAATACCTCTAACTCTCCATTTAATAACTCTCCTCTCCTATTTTAACTGACAAATCCATTTGTTCTCTAGGCTTTCTTAACTTGTTAATCTCACTCCAAAACTTTTTCTTATTTTCAACAAAATTTGATGATAACATCTCACCCACTCTCTCATTTGCTCTCTTTTTACATTGCTTCACCACTGTCTTAACCTCTCTCTCTTTCTCCATATACTCTTCCCTCCTTGCATCACTTCTACTTTGTAAAAACTTCTCATATGCTAACTTTTTCTCCCTTACTACTCTCTTTACATCATCATTCCACCAATCGCTCCTCTTCCCTCCCGCACCCACTTTCCTGTAACCACAAACTTCTGCTGAACACTCTAACACTACATTTTTAAACGTACCCCATACCTCTTTGACCCCATTGCCTATGCTCTCATTAGCCCATCTATCCTCCAATAGCTGTTTATATCTTACCCTAACTGCCTCCTCTTTTAGTTTATAAACCTTCACCTCTCTCTTCCCTGATGCTTCTATTCTCCTTGTATCCCATCTACCTTTTACTCTCAGTGTAGCTACAACTAGAAAGTGATCTGATATATCTGTGGCCCCTCTATACATTTATTAAACAAAAATACCAACCACTCTAACACTATATCCCCCCCTGCTTTTAACATTTCTGTCATGATCCCGTCAGTTCCAGCTGCTTTACCCCCTTTCATTGTACGTAATGCCTCACGCACCTCCCCCACACTCACATCCTGCTCTTCTTCACTCCTAAAAGATGGTATACCTCCCTGGCCAATGCATGAAATTACCGCCTCTCTTTCTTCATCGACATTTAAAAGTTCCTCAAAATATTTCCGCCATCTACCCAATACCTCCATCTCTCCATCTACTAATTCCCCTACTCTGTTTTTAACTGACAAATCCATTCGTTCCCTAGGCTTTCTTAATTTGTTTAACTCCCAAAATTTTTTCTTATTTTCATTAAAATTTCTTGACAGTGCCTCTCCCACTCTATCATCCGCTCTCCTTTTGCACTCTCTCACCACTCTCTTCACCTTTCTTTTACTCTCCATATACTCTACTCTTCTTATAACACTTCTGCTTTGTAAAAACCTCTCATAAGCTACCTTTTTCTCTTTTATCACACCCTTTACTTCATCATTCCACCAATCACTCCTCTTTCGTCCTGCACCCACCCTCCTATAACCACAAACTTCTGCCCCACATTCTAATACTGCATTTTTAAAACTATTCCAACCCTCTTCAAAATCCCCACTACTCATACTTGCACCAGACCACCTTTCTGCCAATAGTTGCTTATATCTCGCCCAAACTTCCTCCTCCCTTTAGTTTATACACTTTCACCCCCTCTTACTTGTTGTTGCCATTTTCCTCTTGTCCCATCTAACTCTTACTCTAACTGTAGCTACAACTAGATAATGATCCGATATATCAGTTGCCCCTCTATAAACGTGTACATCTTGGAGCCTACCCATCAACCTTTTATCCATCAATACATAATCTAACAAACTTTCATTATGTGTTATATCATACCTTATATATTTATTTATCCTCTTTTTCATAAAATATGTATTACTTATTACCAAACCTCTTTCTACACATAGCTCAATTAAAGGCTTCCCATTTTCATTTACCTCTGGCACCCCAAATTTACCTACTACTACCTCCACAATATTTTTACCCACTTTAGCATTGAAATCCCCAACCACAAGTACTCTCACACTTGGTTCAAAACTCCCCATGCATTCACTCAACATTTCCCAAAATCTCTCTCTCTCTCTCCTCTACACTTCTCTCTTCTCCAGGTGCATATACGCTTACTATAACCCACTTTTCACATCCAGCCTTTATTTTGCTCCGCATAATCCTTGAATTAATACATTTATAGTCCCTCTTTTCCTGCCATAGCTTATCCTTCAACACTATTGCTACTACTCCTTCAGCTCTAACTCTATTTGAAACCCCTGACCTAATCCCATTTATTCCTCTCCACTGAAGCTCTCCCACCCCCTTCAGCTTTGTTTCACTTAAAGCCAGGACATCCAGCTTCTTCTCTTTCATAACATCCACAGTCATCTCTTTCTTACATTCGCACAACATCCACGCACATTCAGACATCCCACTTTGACAATTTTCTTCTTTTTATTCTTTTTAGTAATCATTAAAGGAAAAGAAAGGGGTTACTAGCCCATTGTTCATGGCATGAGTGTGTATAAATAAATGTGTACATGTATGTGTAGTGTGACCTAAGTGTAAGTAGAAGTAGCAAGACGTGCCTGTAATTTTGCATATTTATGAGACAGACAAAAGACACCAGCAATCCTACCATCATGTAAAACAATTACAGGCTTTCGTTTTACACTCACTTGGCAGGACGGTAGTACCTCCCTGGGTGGTTGCTGTCTACCAACCTACTACCTACCCCACATATATTATGATAATAATAATAATAGTGCAGGGAAGGTGGGGTAGGGATCATCCTAGGAAAAGGATGGAGGGAGGGGGGGTTAAAGGAGGTTTCGTGTGCAAGGGGCTTGGATATACAGCAGGTATGTGTGATCATGCTTCTTTTTCGGGCCACCCTGCTTTGGTGGAAGATGGCCAGTGTGTTAAAAAAAAAATTAATAGTAAATGATAAAATTTTAAAATGGGTAGGTATAATAAGTCAGATATCCCAGAGGATCAGTACTAGGCCACATGCAATTAATGACCAGCTAGCAAGGATAGATTTCTGCAAATATATTTGTGTATGATGCCAAAATTATGACCATACAAGCAGAAGAGGACAACAAGAGGCTCCAAGAGAACCTGGAAAAAAGAGGGTACCAGCATTCACCCTCAGCAAGTACAAGGTACTGCCTGAGGTGTGGAGAACTATACAGGAAATTAAAGAGGAAAAAATGATCTAGGAATAATCACACTGCCAAACCTACTCCTTGAAGTGTACCCAAACATAATAACATCAATGGCATATGGAAGATTGGCAAACTAGGATGACCTTCAGAAATCTAGAGAACTTCAACACATTTCAACTTATGCAGCTTCCTTGAGTATCCAGTGCCAATGTTGAATCTGCTTAACTTTTTACAATGAAAAAACTTGAGATAAGCATCTAAATTCTAGCCATTACTAAGAGGACTGTTCCCTAAGCGATAACATGAGCTAGATCAGTGGTTCTAAACCAGGGGATGTCACCCTACCTTGGTGGAAGATGGCCAATGTGTTAAGAAAAAAAATGAAGAGGGGCATTAAGATGAGGACTATCTGTGATAGGGGGCACAACCCAAAATAGGTTAAGAATCACTGAGATAGATATTGTATAATGTCACTAGAGGAATGCAGAATGAGGAAATTCAGTACATTATAACAAAAGTTGCAAAAAAAAAAGATGCTTTGGAATTGTAGAAGTGTAAATAAAAAAAGAATGGAGAGAGCTGGTGTATAGCTAACAGAATGGTTGAAACAGGCACTGATACAGAGAAAAACTTCTGTTGAGGTTGATTGTTGTCTGTGCAACAGGCTTTTTTTTTGTTGTTGTTGTTGTTAAATGGTAATAAAATACAGTGGTACCTCGAGTTACGAACTTAATTCGTTCCAGAAAGCTGTTCGAGTGCCGATACCAAACGAATTTGTTCCCATTAGGAATAATGTAAATTAGATTAGTCCATTTCAGACTCCCAAAATACACTTAAAAAAGCACTTACAAAAATACACTTACATAATTTTTCAAGTTGGGAACTGTTTGAAACTCAAGGTACCACTGTACCTAGAGAGATGAAGGTAGGAAAAAACAGGAATTGAGAAATGTTCCAAAATATATTGAAAATCATGGTTGTGAATTATTAGATTAATTGAAAAAGAAAAAAAAAAAAACAGATCGTGGGCTGGATGTGCAGTGAAGAATAAGATGTGTGGAATGTTTATAGCTAAAAAAAATGGGTAAATATTTAGTAGATTTAGGCATATGGAGTTTAATAAGCACGGAAATTCTTGGATAAAATCTTGTAACTAAATTATTACTATGTAATTAGTGAATGTTGAAGTCTAAGATATAAAAATACATACAGTAGGATCATGAAGCAGAAAATCCACAAAGGAAAACTCACTTGTATTATACTTTTTTATTAATAATGTCAGCATTGTATTTTTTATATGTAGCAGTATATAATTTACTTCGTTCTATAAAGATTTTTCATCTCCTGTTCAGTTGGATTCAGCAACATCACTAATTCAAGCCGCCAAGAATTTGATGAATGCTGTGGTCTTGACAGTCAAGTGTTCATATGTTGCTTCAACTAAATATCCACGCCAAGGAACCATTGCTGTGAGTATCTATGTTGAATTGAAATTGTATTCATAGACTTATCGAAGATTTGAAAATAAAACCTTAATACAGTATGGCGATTTGAAGATTCTTTTATAGTATGTGTAAGTTTTTATTACTAATGAAGTTTTCTTGGCAGCTTACCCTACCGGTAAGTATAATGGTTTAATATTATTGAATATTTTTGTTGGTATAGGCAACAAGCCAGTAAATGGAGAGAGTAAAACACAATATGCAGGGAAACCTCTATTTTACAATGTTTCACCCTCAAAGGGGCTTTATCAAGTAAATAGAGAACAGTTGTAGTGGTATGGTTATACTGACAAACTGTGGAAAATGATACTGGTATACAGTTCAGGACATTTATTGAGGGAAATGTTTCATCATGAGAAATGAAGCCAATCATAGCAAAACATTTCCTTTAATCACTTGAGGGTCCAGACCCCAAATCTGAAAATTCCCCACAGGGTCCAAGAATTTAAAAAAAAAAAAAAAAATTATTACTTTTTCTTATGAAATGGCAGAGAATGTTTTTTCTGAAGGTAATAAAACAAAAAGGACAAAATTTGATCAAAAATTGATGAAATAACGCTCTCGCGAATTTTGCTGTCAGTGATATTTATGCATCAACGATTTTTTGCCCACTTTGAGTCTTATTTTTGGCAATTACATTGTTCCATTAGACCAAATTCTTAGTTATTTTGCTATATGTGTTCCATTTTATCTATTGAACACAAGAAATCACCCAGTCATCTGTTTCAACTACCTAATAAAATGATCAGAAATTGGTAATTTGGTCATTTTCATTATATGCCAATTTCAAAGTAGGGTCCAGAATAAACAAAGCAGGTATTCCTGGGACTAAAATAACATTTCCTGTGTTCATTAGTTACATTTCCAGACTTTACACATGAATTACATTTTGATTAATTTTTATTCACACAAAAAAATAGAAGAGTTACTATTATGCTATATTTTAATTATTGTATAAATAATATCAGCGCATTCTTGAACGTGTATCAGACCCACGAGTTGATGTGTATTGGACGTGTGACGTGATTTGTTCACTCTTGAACATTGGCAAAAAGCGAACATTTTCCCTGCTTTGAGCTCAATTTCAAGCTATTTTCAGTTCTAAAACCCATCAAAATCATATCTATTTCTGTAATATATCTTCCATTCTATCAAAGAGCCAAGAAATCAAGAATACAACCATAAAATTCATATGAAAATACACCGCATTATTGTTGTTTTAAACCAAATACAGTGGAACCTCAAATTTCGAACGTATCACTTATTGAACTCTTTGAAAATCAACCGCTTTTTTTTTAAAACCAACTTTATCCCTATTATTGAACTTGCCCCTTCTTTCGAACCACCGGGTACCGGACCTGTCCGCCAGCCCGCTCTGTCCACGTCCCTGCGCAGGCACCGTGAGCCAGTCTGGCTTTGTTGATGCTTGAGTGAACACTAACCTGCGGTCCCATTCAAACATTTTACAATTAATTCATTGTGTTTAGTGCTTGTGGGACTGTGAAATAAGCTACCATGGGCCCAAAGAAACTTGCTAGTGGTACCCCTGTGGTAAAGAAAGTGAGAAACACCATAGATGTGAAGAAGGAAATAATACAGAAGTTTGAGAGTGGTGTGCTACTTGTTGAGCTTGCCATGATATATGGGGAAAACAAGTCGACCATCGTTTCTATCCTGGCAAAGAAAGAACAAATCAAGGAAGTTGATGCTGCGAAACCTGTTGATATGCTAACCAAAAAAAGACCACAGACAATCGATCAGGTTGAGAAATTGTTGCTGGTGTGGATCAAGGATAAAGAGATGGCAGGTGATAGTGTTTCAGAGACGATTATTTGTGAAAAGGCAAGGAAGTTGCATGCCAATTCAAAGATTAAGGAGATTTGCACCAAGTGGAATGATGTCCAAATGTTTGTGGAGAAGTACCACCCTGAGCAAGCTGAAACAAGCCATCTTTGCAACAAGTTCAGTGACAGAACCATGTCCCATTTTAGGGAAATCTTAGAGGCACCAGAAACAGAGGACTGTGGACAGTTATTTTGTGAGACAGGGGTCCAGTGACTCTCAAGCTGGTCCTAGTGGCATTAAAAGACAGAGAAGGGAAATAACCCCAGAGAGGGCTTTGATACCTAAAGTCCTTAGGGAAGGGGATTCCCCTTCTGAACACTAACCCCAACTCCCTCTCTCTCCTCCTCCCTATCTTCCAGATGCCATCACCAATCTTCAATAAAGGTAAGTAAAAATGTTATTTTATATGTTTTCTTTCTTTCAAAACGGCAGTATCCCACCGAGGCAGGGTGGCCCAAAAAGAAAAACAAAAGTTTCTCTTTTCAAATTTAGTAATTTATACAGGAGAAGGGGTTACTAGCCCCTTGCTCCTGGCATTTTAGTCACCTCCTCCAACACGCATGGCTTATGGAGGAAGAATTCTGTTCCATTCACCCATGAAGATAAGAGGAAATAAACAAGAACTAGAAAAAAAATAGCAGAAAACCCAGAGGGGTGTGTATATATATGCATGTACATGTATGTGTAGTGTAACCTAAGTGTAAGTAGAAGTAGCAAGACGTACCTGAAACCTTGCATGTTTGAGACAGAAAAATGGACACCTGCAATCCTACCATCATGTAAAACAATTTTCAGACTTTCGTTTTACACTCACTTGGCAGGACGGTAGTACCTCCCTGGGTGGTTGCTGTCTACCAACCTACTACCTAGATTTTATATGTTTATTGAAATTTATTAATAATTGTACACTATATTTGTTGTGTGTATGTAAAACTATAATGTAATACTATCCATAAAATGTATTTTTTTGTGAATATTTTTGGGTTTCTGGAACGGATTAATTGTATTTCCATTATTTCTTATGGGAAATATTGCTTGACCTTTCAAACTTTTTGACTTCAGAACTAGCTCCTGGAACGGATTAAGTTCGAAATTTGAGGTTCCACTGTACATGGTTGCAGTTTTTTTTCTCATGCACTGCTTGCTGCAGGATTTGTTTTATGTGGTGCACACTTACTGCATCAATCCATTCTCTTATATCTAGGCCCAAATTTACCGCTGACAGCTTATCTGAGTGAGCTGAGCTCATCACATAGAATTATGTAAAAGGCCCTGACTTCAAAGCCATAGAACTAGGGCATGGACCCTCAAAGGGTTAATTAATGTCCTGAACTGTACATAAATGTCCTTATCGTAAATAAAGAACACATCACAAAACAGCTTTTATAGTACACAGTAAGAGGTCAGGGTAAACAGGTAATTTAACATAAAATAAGAGGAGCATTGCAGCAAGATCACCAGCACATGCTAGGTACAAGGTGGGAGGGAAAAGGGAACAAAAACAAAATTCATGAGTAGTGAAGCAGGTCTGCTGGCCCATTTTAGGGTTGCTGTGGTGATTTAGGACAGTGTGAATGTAGGGTCTATCCAAGGTATACACCTCCCTGTTTTTGTTTAGTAGTGTTTTTTCTTTTTATTTTTTGTAAATGAATGACAAACACTTATGAGATGGGAATAAGAGTTGCATCATTAATGTCAGTCTTGCTGCCATATATTTATGCCAGAAGTCATGCAAGTAAATCTCTAGCAGTTTCCCCTGCATACAGTGTGTTACTTTTTTCATGTTATTTTTGATAATTCAGTTGTATTAATTTTTTAAGGAATGCATACATTACGTATTAATTTTTTTTTACGTCAGCAGTAGGTGGATATATAGTTCATGTTAATGAATGTGTTAATTTTAGTTTTGGTTATAAACTCGATGCTTGTTTTATCTGTGACATAAGTAAGAAGGTTTTCAGGTTTGATGCAAAAACTGAAGCAAGCTATGTATGTGACTATCATTATTCACAAATGTATTTTATACCATAGCCTTGCATATCCTGAGCTACAATAGTGTAAATAAAGTTGATATTTTTTAGTATTTTGTTGATGTTTTACTGGTATTTATTATATTAAGTTATATTTGTCCTTCTATTACTTTTTTCAGCGAGATTGACTAAAAATGTGCATTTAAGAAAATATCAACCATATACAATGAATATAATTACTTAATCTCATGTGAAAAATACTGTACATACTATTAAAAGACTTCGCTTTTTAATTATATAAGTAGGTATATACAGCATTATAATATTTGTACTGGGTTGTAATCAGAAAAGATATAAAAGACTAACATATAAAGATATAAAGACTTGGATATAAAAGACTAAGGGTTGAATATTTAGATTAACTCTAGCAAGGGAATCTGCTAAAGAAAGCTGTTGGCTTTTGGTAAAGATTATGCCAATGAAGGATAAAAACTAAATGACATTTAGGAAGCACCAAATCAGATCACATCGGTAAACGAATTTGTCACTAAGTGAGGAGCATACTATAATGGTAGGAGGTTTGTGTCAACCATCTTTGATATTGTTTTAATGTCACCTTTGCACCTTTATAACATTTTTGGTATATTTTTAAATGTTTATACAGTAGTTACTGTATATTGTAATAAACAGTATAGACAAAATCAGCTCTAATATACATTATTTAGGTATGCATGCTGGTCAGACGTAAGTAAGTCTGAGGTGTCGATAAACGAGTACGTTGCTAAGTGAGGAGAGGCTGTATTATTTGCATGTGTAAACAAATTGCTATATACTAGGTTGGAGAATGTCTGATGAACAATGATCTGCAATATAAGATTTCTCAGTTCTACAGAAAATACATGGTAATTGTGGCTTTCATAGAGACTTAAGACATAAATGCAGTAGAAATATTGGAGTACCACTAAACCTCAAAAAAAAAAAAAAAAAAAAAAATGCTGATGAGACACTGTTGCTGGAGCCAAATTAAAGATCGCAGGTGATCTCAGCCTTGGAAAAATGGATTGACCTCGAGACAGAAGACCAAGTTCCTTCACTTATCAGTTCAAAATTGCTCAAGTGAACATATCAAGAAACCCATAACAGTGAGAAAGTGATGAACTGGTGTAGTGGGACCTCGTATTCTCCTTTAATGAGGCAGATGTATATATGAAATTAAATAGAAAGCCCTTGGGAACAAATGCTCATTATATGTTGCTGTCCTATTACTTAGTGAAAGTGAAACAGAAAAAATTATTATTCAGCCAGACTGGTATATCATTTATGAATTATTGAAAAAAGTTTGATTCAAATGCAGTGAGATGCTGATTTCATTATGCATACAACCCAAGAAATGAAATTCTTTAGCCAGATATGCAAGAAATTGACAAATTTGTACCTATTTGTTTGGAAATAGAAGTTACTGGGAGAACCCTGGGTACAGTTGTTGCTGTTTTTTTTTTTTTTCACATAGGCCATTTCTCACAAAAGCATTATAAGAATGCACTTAGAAGCCTGAGTAGATCTATAACTACTATGATAACATGAACATAGATAAGTACATTTATGGAGCAACTTTCAGTCTGAACAGAATGACTGATGTTGCAGTGGCTAGGCTTAGGCTTAGTTACAAGCACTTCTGGCAGTTTGGGAAAGACAGAGATGATCAAACCAAATGCAAAGTATGTGACCAGCCCTATGGTCACTGTGGTCACTATCATTGTCCACTTATTGAGGAATATGGAGATAGATGGTATGTATAATAACCTATATGACATGTCAGGATATCTTATTAATGAAAATAAGATACCAGATATCTTAAGCAAATTTCCTAAGTTTTGCTTGTAGACATAAATCCAGATGTACCCCTGTTATCCCTTTTGAGACTTGGTTCATAGGCCTTGTCTGTATCCATATGCCCTTGCGCTACCGTCCACAGGATGGATATGGAGTGCACATCCACTTTTGTGGCAAAATCTAATCACAAAAGCAGGCGGTCCAGAGAAGGAGACATTTTCACCACTTATTCAATAGCTGTCTTATGAGAAATGTGCAAACATAATTCAATGACCTTTCTGTTTTTACATTAAGTTTATACACAATATGATTCATTAATTCAAACAAATCAGACACATTTAAACTTTCACAGAGCTTTTTAAAATCAGTAACAGTAACAGCATCAGAGCATATATTATCCATTGTTCAATATAGTACAGTAATATCAAAATTTCATGAATGTGCAATGCAGAAATAGTGACTCTAATGTCTTGTGTAAATTATACCTTTTAATTTTAAGTATACTGTACTCAGCAATATTAACTGAAATTATTTTTATACCCTTGAGGGAACAAATAGGTACATTTTTCCAGTCACAAGTAGTTGCACTTGCTTGCCAGCTACATATGCATGGTTCAACACAGTTAAATCTGATTCTTTCACTGCAGCTTCATGTTTCTTATCCTAGATGATAATGTTAGAATTTTTTTATCTGTATTATTGGTTTACTTTAGCTAAATATTGTTCCTCCAAATGAGCAAATTAAATCAAATAACTTTCAGCAGCTCTATGCTCTGCAAATCCTCCCCTTTCTCCACGTTTTTAACTTTCCATTAATTATGGGGTTTCATAATCCTGCCCCACCAAACACTGGAATATTTGCAAAGTTTTTTGATGTTCAGTTCATTTTAGGAAGACCTTACCTTTTAAAACAAGATTTACACAGAAAGAGTAACACTTTCAAGTGTCACACATAGCTAAAATTTTTTTAACACATTTTCAGAATAACATGAGAATTTTGTCTTCCTCATTTCAAATATTATAGAGTTTATTTTTCAGTACTATACCCAAGCATAAAATGTAAAATAGCTTGCTCCTTTATCTAATTCATATACTGTAGTGCAGTACTTTTCTCTTTCTTAATAATGCAATGTACTAGATTTTCACCAGAGTACTAGAAGACTAGGATTGTACCCATAGGTCACAAATATTTGGATTTAATGCTCCTATTGCACTTTTGTATAGGTATTTTGCTTATACATATAATCAGCAGCCTTAAGAAGTACAGAATTATGATCTGAAAAGAGCCATACTGTTGTAATAGGTTGGAAAAATTATGCATGATGAATACAAAAAAATCCAGGAATACTAAAACATAACGCTTTTGGGTTTAGCACCTTAATTGATTATATTATCATCACCATCGTCATCTTTAAGTAGAGGAGGGAAATTGGATATTATTTTTGCAATGGACATAACAGCCAAGGCAAAGAAAGCTAAAGATTCTTTAGAGATGCATTGGAAGGAAAATGCAGTAAAAGATCCAGTGGTAGCACAGAGAACAAGTCAGGATACTCATATGAAATGACAGAAAGGCATGTACTGAGCTCAACAGAAGATTGCTTAGTGTGTTTACAAATAAGTGAGGACTAGTACATGAACTAGAGGAGAGGATAAACCAAATACTGTAGAACTATCAAAAGCCTAAGGATCAGATGGCATATCACCACTATTAAAACTATGCACTGCAATATGCAAATTATTTACATTGGATGATAGCAAATGTGATAATCAGCATTCAAAAAAGGTGACATGCAAGAAGCCGTGAACTACAGATCAGTGTACCCATCAAGGGAGGTTCCTCTACATTGGTGAGGGGCTTTTGATCCAAGAAATTCCTACTTCCATCTCAGTCCTAGGATCAAACCTGATTGCCTTGTTACTCCAGAAACTATAATCCCTACAGGTTTAGCATGTCCCCCCATTAATATAGTAATAAACCAGTGTCCCTAAAGAGTGTAATATGTAGATTATTGAAAAAAATTTAACTTGTTGAGCAGTTTAAAAGTATGAGGTGAATACAAACAAGAGACTAATAGATTTAAGGAATAAATAGATAAATGACTGCTGGAATTTAACTAGAGAAAGAGCAAAGTCATGAACTTGATAGAACAGTATAGGAGACCGAAGGCAGAGTATCATCGGAAAAAAGCTCACAGAAGCAGTTTAAGAAAAAAAGACCTTGAAATAATCATTACCCCAGTTCTGCCCCCCCCCTTGAAGTGCACACAGACAATAACATCAGCAGTTCAGGCTAATCTTGCAAAAATAGAAGTGGCATTCAGGACCCTAGACAAAGACTTGTTCAAAACATTTTACTTTGTATATGCAACCCATTCTTGGGTATGCAGCACCAGTGTGGAACCCTCTAGTAAAACAAAATAAAACTTCTAAGAATGCATGGAGGAGAGCATCAAGACTGGTGTCTTAGCTGAGAGAAATAAGCTACAAAGAAAGAATGCTAATGCAACATTTAATTAATGCCAGTGGAGGAATGAAAAACAATGGATATGATCATAGAAGTAAAATATTACAAGGCATAGACTGGGTAGACAAAAATTTGCTCTTTATCAGTGATGCAACAAGAACAGAGGAACGTGATGGGAAATTATGCACTTAAAGGAATCACGGTTAATACTAAGTACGTATTTCATCAAAATGAGAGTTGTAAATGAGTGGAATGAGGTAAGCACTGAGACAACAGAAGTGAACAACTCCATATAGGAGTTCAAAAATAGATATAACGGGACTCAATCACATCAGTCAGTCAAAAGTTGAGGCAGGACACGTGGAAAGGGGAGGATGTCTGACCCATCTTACCTTTAAATTTAAAAAAAATGATTGTGGTGAAATTTTTTCTTAAAATGCACATTTCTAGATTTTTATGCGTATTTTAACTTTATTCCCTCATTCATGACAGAGAGCTTTATTTTATATATGCTGTAAGAGTTAGAATAACTAGGTACAGTATTACCACCAATTCTGTACATTTAGCATTTGAATAGCTTTTGAAGCAATTTGTAAAAAATAGGTTGTAACTAGATAGGCTTTAGTACTATATGACCTTCAGTCTTATTAACAAGCTTTGCTTTTACACCAAATTGCTATAACCTCTAATATTTAGCAACTTCAGTTACATTCAATAGAGGACAGTTTTACTTAAATTGTACTGCTCTTACAGTAGGCATTGCTTTGCATTTCTTCTTTAACACTTTTATTTTTCATGCTTATTATACCAGCCTGGGGCAAGATCAGCCGTAAGTGAAATATGTTTTTAGTTGTTTGTTCTGTATCTTTTGAAAATGCCAGAAGCACTTACACAATATTTGCTATCTTTTCACAGCATACTCTTTGAAGATTAAGATAGTGAATTATTGATTTTGCTTCTGCATGTTTTATGAATAAGCACAGCCAGTGTTTGTACTGATTAAAATTTGGCTAAATTTAGGTGTAATTTAAGCTACATTGCAGAGATAGTTGTGCCTAGTTCAGTCTGAAGTATACAGGTTAGGAAATATATATGTTCACTTGGGTATATGCTGTGAACTGTTTTAACCAAAACTTTTCATATTTGTCTGCCTACCAGCAAAAATTCACCATGTGGTATGGAAATGCAGGCATGTAATAGGTCTTTCATGTGGCGAGCTTTGCATGAGTTGATGTTGTTTCTAAATGGCAGTTTTACATGTTTGTGTGTGTTTTCAACTATTGTACAATAATCTGATCATCTGTAAAAATATGAATTTTTGTGTCACTTGAAAGGCACTAATTCCTCCATATAATCTTCAAAAAATTCATCTGTATTAATAAAATAATCTTTTCCTTTAGGAGTTGTCTCCATATTATCTGGAAAGTTTATTTTTATTATCCATTTGAAGCTTAGATATGGGACGAAAACTTCTAATCACTATTTCCTGCATTAAAAACTAGTGTGTTTCTTTTGGTTACTGATATGCAAAATTTAAGAACTCTTAAGTGAAAAAGAAAAGGATACTGAAAATAATTGTTTGCTGTAAAGATTTATTATTGGAAGAAAGAACATGAATCAAAGCTTTGGAAGCATATATATTCTATTCCAGAGAATTTTAAGATCTTTATTTAATTGTATTGGGATTTTTTTAATAGTTAAAAAATTAATAAGTTGATATTCATGATAAATGTGTTGGGATATACAGTAGACCGTTATTTAACACGGTAGTTACGTTCTTGAAAACACTGTGTTAGGTAAATAAAACTGTGTCACATGAACTGAAGAACATATGGGAAAAATAGGGTTGCGTTCCTGACAGCCCCAAAAAAGCCAAACTACTTTTTTTTTTAGGCCTCCACATCTTACAAAAATAAAAGTGAATATGTAATTGTAGTTCATTGTTGTGATGATTTATGTTGGTTTTACTGCTTAAGACTACAAATGTAACAGAAATAATAGTATTTCTTACCTTAAATTGTGGTTGCTGGTGTTTGTGAGTGATTGTGAAGAGTTATGCTGTGGCCCTACTGGTCTGAGGTGGGTGGTAGAGGTTCTGGTACTGAAGTTGATGGTTGTATTGGAGTGTCTAACTTTGTCATTCAGTCAATCAAGTCATTCAGTAAGTCAGTCAAGTGATTCAGTAAGTCAGTCAAGTTATTCAGTAAGTCAATCAAGTCGTTCAGCAAGTCAGTCAACTCGTTCAGTAAGTCAGTCAACTCGTTCAATAAGTCAGTCAAGTCGTTCAGTAATTCAGTCAAGTCTTTCAGTAAGTCAATTCATTCAGTAAGTCAGTCAAGTCATTCAGTAAGTCAGTCAAATCATTCAGTAAGTCAGTGAAGTCACTCAGTAAGTCAGTCACACAAACTTATGTTTACCTTTTTTTGTGTACAAAGTAATACTTCATTATGGCCACAGGATGTCTTGTCTAATATCTTTGTTGCCTTCATTAATTCTAAGACTTAAATGTTAACACCTTTTCTTGCCACTTTGAGCAACACTGGTATGCTTACCACTTTGAGCAACACTGGTATGCTTACCACTTTGAGCAACACTGGTATGCTTACCACTTTGAGCAACACTGGTATGCTTACCACTTTGAGCAACACTGGTATGCTTACCACTTTGAGCAACACTGGTATGCCTACTGGGTGTCATGATTGCTTGGTAGATACAAGATATAGCAGTTAAAAGATCAAAACACAATTCACAATCACTCGCTTGTAGCAGAGAAGTTGGACTGGACACGTATGAAGTACGAATGCTTGGGTGGTGTAGGGGGGGTGGCTGGGGACGGCGGGAGGTCTCCCCAGCTGAACCACAACAAGACGGCAGCTTGAGGAAAAAGGAACCGTGTTAAATTCATCATACGACCTGTTACATAAAATTGTGCCGCAATCCTTCAATCGTGCTGTACTTAAATTGTGCCAAATAAAATCGTGCTAGATAACGGTCTACTGTAGAATTATATTTTATATGCAAAAAAGTTCCTACTATATTCATGTTAAAGACTTAAAGATTCAGTAGAAATACTTAAACTCCTGTTGTTGTTTTTTGTCATGGAAGTAACAAGGGCTGAACGTTTGTAAAACACAAGCAAGTATAAGAGTTATTTCAAGAATTAGGGGCTGACTTGACCATCCAACAGGCATGTTTGGTCATGTTAATTCAGAGTGAAAACAAGTGTTTCTTTTAGTGTGGAGGGGGTTGATGTACTGTTGGAGTATGAGCCAGGTAACATCTGTGAAGGAATTCAAAGAAACAGGTTAGCTGTACTTGAAATCTGGAGGTGGAAAGTACAGTGTCTCTACTCAGAAGAATAAGAAGGGATGTTGTATTTTGGTGCAACATTATAATTGTGATAGCCATACTCTTCTGGAAAGAGCTATGGAATGAATGAAAGTGAATGTGTTTTCCATTGTTTATTCTGCCGTAGGGGAAAATAGCCGATGTCCTTGAAAAATTAATAAAAAGGGTACAATCATCGCTTGCTTAACGGCTGAGATAGAGACCGTAGGAATGGCCCATTTTGTGAAAATTATGCTAAGCGAATTATAATTTTCCCACAAGATCTCATATTATAACTCGTGATGTGGACCAGGGTGGTAAATTCCTGTACATAATGTGAGTGTTTTACATTAAGCAACTCTAATTTTCCATATACAATTTGAAGTGGGGACCAGGGCAATAATATACCCTATTTAAAAAATGGACCTGTTTAGTAAAGCCATAGTGGTATTATATACCTGGAGAGGGTTTTTGGGATCAATCCCCCTGCGGCCCGGTCTGTGACCAGGCCTCATGGTGGATCAGGGTCTGATCAACCATGCTGTTACTGTTGGTCGCACGCAACCCAACGTACAAACCACAGCCCGGCTGGTCAGGTACTGAATTTAGGTGCCTGTCCAGCGCCTTCTTGAAGACAGCCAGGGGTCTATGTATGCTGGGAGGCAGTTGAACAATCTAGGGCCTCTCACACTTATTGTGTTGTCTTTTATCGTGCTAGTGGCGCCCCTGCTTTTCACTGAGGGATGTTGCATCGTCTGCCAAGTCTTATGCTTTCATAGGGAGCGATTTTCGTGTGAAAGTTTGGTATTAATCCCTCTAGGATTTTCCAAGTGTATATAATCATGTATCTCTCCTGCCTGCATTCTAGGGAGTACAGGTTGAGGAACTTCAAGCTTTCCCAATAATTGAGGTGTTTTATACGTACATTTTCTAGGTCAGCAGTTTCACCTGCCTTGAAAGGTGCTGTTAGAACAAGAGACTTGAAGAGTGTCATCATGGGCTTGGCATCCCTAGTTTTGAAGGTTCACATTATCCATCCTGTCATTTTTCTAGTAGATGCAATTGATACTATGTTGTGGTCTTTGATGGCGAGATCCTCTGACAGGTCTTTTACATTAGTTTTTGTTCGATTGTATGGTTGGAATTTGTTTTATACTCTGATATAGTTTTAATTTCTTCACGTTTTCCATATCGGAATACATAATTGAAATTTCTCATCAATGAACTTCATATTGTTTTCTGTGGCCCATTTAAAAATTTGGTTGATGTCCACCTGGAGTCTTGCAGTGTCTTCAATGGAGGACACTGTCATGCAAATTTGGGTGTCACCTGCAAAGGAAGACACGGTGCTGTGGCTTACATCCCTGTCTGTGTCAGATATGAGGCCGAGGAACAGGATGGGAGCGAGTATTGTGCCTTATGGAACAGAGCTTTTCACGGAGCCGCCTCAGACTTTACTCCGTTTACTACTACTCTTTGTGTTCTATTTTAGGAAATTATAGTTCCATCTACCAACTTTTCCTGTTATTCCTGAATCACACATTTTGTGTGTTATTACATCATGGTCACATTCGTCAAAGGCTTTTGTAAAGTCTGTGTATATTGCATCTGCATTTTGTTTATGTTCTAGAGCATCCAGGACCTTGTCATAGTGATCCAGTAGTTGGGACAGGCAGGAGTGACCTGCTCTAAACCAATCTTGCCCTGGGTTGTGTAACTGATGGGTATCTAGACTGGTCCCAATCTTGCTTCTTAGAACCCTTTCAAAGATTTTTATGAAATGGTATGTTTTATGAGCATATAACAAAAAAATATGAAAAAATATCACAATATGGAGAGAATCATTACATATAATTTTGTTATTAACGAGGAGGTAAAGGGTTGTGAAAGCCCAAGGCTGACTTTTATTCAGTTGAAAGGTTGTGACAGCTGTGATAAGCTGGCTATTGTTGGGAAGGCACCTCCTTTCTCCAGTCAGCCCCCACCCTCCTCACACCACCACTAACAGTACACCACTACCACCTCTGCCATCCCTGACTCCACCACTACCACCCCCTGACACCACAAGCCACCCTTCTCCCTGAACTGGACATGATGACCCTCATAGGTTTAGCACTTGTTTTGATTATGATAATAATAATGAACTGGACATGAAATAAATGGATCAGCTAATTATGGCACAAACAAAAACAGCCATTGTCTAAACACAAGGACACATGCTGTGAAACAAAAATGAACTACACTTTGTGTGTTAGTGCAGCATTAAGTCAGAAATAAGGCACTAAAATAATTATAATGTATAAGTTTCAACACCTATTTATTGCACGATTTGTTTATCATTTTTTTTTACGAATTAAAATTGTCTCGACACTGTTCATTGATGCTTTGGAACAGTCATAAGTTGTCTCAATACCTTCTTTCCTTCCAGCTTCCTCTCTTCCCTTTCCAGCACCACCACTTACTAATGTCCTTCCCTCCCCTTCCTTGCCTTCCTCCTGCTGC